ATATATAAATAAAATTTTACTTATATATTTATATATTAATTTTTTGAGAACAGGGAATTTTATCGTCATACGCGTCTTGTTGTCTGTACATTCTCCTCGTTTTTATTTCCTCCTTTATATACAATACCTATCGTCGGTACCAATTTGGCCCTACCCTTGCCCTAATTTCTGAGTTTGAGCAGTGCTAGGGGGCACTCGCCTCTTGCACTCTCCGGCAAACACTTCCCCTTTCATTGGGCCACGTAAGCTTGTTTCATGCTTTGATGCAGTGCAACCTTTTACCCACCGGAATAACGTGTCCCAATAAAAGTGAAAGTGTTGGCCGGAGAGTGCGGGAGGCGAGTGCCCCTAGCACTCCTCTCTGAGTTATTGTCATCCACACGAATGGTTGTTATGTTGCAGAAGCTACCCCGGTAGGCTATCAATTTTCCCCTTCTTTTTTTTTTTAACATATTTATTACAATTCAGGGTACTAAAGGAGGAGGAAATGAGGGAGAGATTGGTGAGGCTCGAATACGATTCTATCAGATAAGTTTCACCTAATTAGTGATTATATCCCTGCAGCTACAACGTAGATATTCATGTACGTTAGCAGTTTAGCCTGAGCGATGTTTTTAACTGTATATGTGCATATTTATGCGTGTCTTTTCACTGTGAAAGAGAAGTCACTGAATGAACTTTAATTTTCTAACTCTCCCTAGACATGAAGACACTCTATCTCCGCTCATCACCCTTGCGGTCACACTTCTCTCAGGAGTAAAGTGGATAAGTGATAACACCGCCGTTGACATGAAATTCGAGTTTGAAGGTTAACTTTAATAATCTTACTTTGATTTTTTTAAATGTAATTTAATTTAAATAAAATTTTAATATATTACTTACATAATATAGTAATTAAATTTTTTTAATAAAATAAAAATATTTAACAAAAATATAAAATTTTTAATTATTATTCATATGAATTATTAAATTTTTTATTTAAAATTTATATTTTAAAAAAAATTAAAAATTAAACTAAAATTATTAAACTTGAATAGAGAGTAATTATAATTTGTTCAAAAAAAAGAAAAAAAGAAAAAAGAGATAAAGTAATCTATAGCATTAGTTTCTATAAACCATAAAAACCTGCCAAATAGATCTCGATTATGCTCCTTCTTTTTCTAAATCGTCTTTAAGTATAGGATATTACTGATTAGGTGTTGAAATGTCTACCCCGGGACAAGCTCCAAATATGTTTTGCAGGTCTCAATCGCTGGTCAATTAGTACATTTTCTGCC